GTATTCTTGGTCGTAGGTTCTTCCCTTTCATCACTCTAAATACAGTATATTGTGCTACTCCCTTCTGGCCTGCAGAGTTTCTGCTGAGAAATCAGCTGATAACCTTATGGGAGTTCCCTTGTATGTTATTTGTTGTTTTTCCCTTGTTACTTTTAATATTTTTTCTTCGTCTTTAGTATTTGTCAGTTTGATTACTAGGAGTCCTGGCGTGTTCCTCCTTGGGTTTATGTGCCTGGGACTCTTTGTGCTTCCTGGACTTGGATGACTGTGTGAAGTTTTCAGCTATTATCTCCTCAAATATTTTCTCAGGTCCTTTCTCTCTTCTCCTTTTGGGACCCCTATAATGGGAATGTTGGTGCATTTAAAGGATCTCTTAGACTGTCTACTTTTCTTTTCATTCTATTTTCTTTATTCTGTTCTATGGCAATGATTTCCACCATTCTGTCTTTCAGGTCACTTATCTGTTCTTCTGACTCACTTATTGTACTATTGATTCCTTCAAATGTATTTTTCATTTCCGTTATCATATTGTTCATCTCTGTTTGTTCTTAATTCTAGGTCTTTGTTAAACATTTTTTGCATCTTCATCCTTGCCTCTATTCTTTTTCCAAGATCTTGGATCATCTTCACTCTCATTATTCTGAATTCTTTTTCTAGTAGCTTGGCTATCTCCACTCCACTTAATTTTTCTTCTGGGGTTTCATTTTGTTCCTTCATCTGGGAAATATTCCTCTGCCTTCTCGTTTTGACTAAATTTCTGTGAATACAGTTTCCATTCCACAGGCCACAGGATTGTAGTTCTTGCTTCTGTTGTCTGCCCTCTGGTGGATGAGGCTGTCTAAGAGGTCTGTGCAGGGTTCCTGATGGGAGGGACTGGTTCCCAGTGGTGGGGAGCTGGGTCTTGTCCCTCTGGTGGGCAGGGCTGTGCTCAGGGAGACTTTAAGCCACTTGTGTGCTGATGGGAAGGGCTGTGTTCCCGTGCCATTGGTTATTTGGCCTGAGGTGATCCAGCACTGGAGCCTACAGGCTGTTTGGTGGTAATGGTGGCCTTTGGGAGGGCTCATGCCAATGAGTAGTTCCCAGAACTGCTGCTGCTAGTGTCTTTGTCCCCGCACTGAGGCACAGACACCCCCTGCCTCCCCAGGAGACCCTCCAATGCTAGCAGGTAGGTCTGACCCAGTCTATTCTGGGGTCACTGCTTGTTTCCTCTGGGTCCTGGTACCCTCAAGACTTTATGCGTGCCCTCCAAGAGTGGAGTTCCTGTTTTCCCCAGACCTGTGGAAGTCCTGTGATCAAACCCGATTGGCCTTCAAAGCCAGATTCTCTGGGGACTCCTTCTCCCATTGCCAGACGCCCAGGCTGGAAAGCCTGACTTGGGGCTCAGAATTTTCACTCCTGTGGGATAACTTCTGTGGTATAATTATTTTCCAGTTTGTGGCTCACCCATCTGGTGGGTATGGGGTTTGATTTTATCACGATTGCGCCCCCTCCTCCCATCTTGTTGTGGCTTCTTTGTCTTTGGATGTAGGGTATCATTTTTAGTAGGTTCCTGTGTTTTTTTGTCAGTGGTTATTCTGCAGTAGTGATTTTGGTATTTTTGTAAGAAGGGGGTGAGCTCACATCCTTCCACTCTGCCATCTTGAGCTAATCTGAACTAAGTGGGTTTAGATAGAAAGTAGTGAAAATGTCATTATGTGCAGATGAAATGTTCTCTACCAAGAAATGTTATACACAGGAAGATTAAACCTATTAGAATGAAAAAGATCATGCAACAGGTAGCTCTTCACTTGTAAATACTTTGTAATTTTCATTTTGATTTCTTCTCTAACATGTTAATGTATTTTAAAACGTTTTCAGCTTCCATATATATGGATTCTTTCTGCGGTTATCTTTTTGCTAGTGATTTTAAATATTATCGATTGTAGTCATTGAATATGTTATATATGATGATTTTTTATATGTGAATTTGCCTAGTTTTCCATTATGCCCTATAATAAGTTTAATTTTTATTAATATTTTGTGTGTATTTGAGGAGAAAATAGCAATCCAAATTTGCTGGGCTCAAAATTCTATATATATCTATTAGAAAGAACTTGTTAATCATTTTACTCACCTTCAGTAATCTTATTTATAATCTGCTTGATCAGTTAGTTTCTGGGAGAGGTATGTTAAGCTCCTTTAGGATATTTTGTGTATTTATTTCTTAAATTTTTATCCATTTTACTGCATACATTTCAAAGCAATATAGTCACATAATATTTAATAATTCTAACATTTTCTTTAAAAATTGTTCCATTTTCCAATATTGAATTTTTGGGTTTTTTTTGGCTGTGCCTCATGCATGCAGGATTCTAGTTCCCCAGTCAGGGATTTAACCCACGCATTGCACGGAGTCCTAACCACTGGACCACCAGGGAAGTCCTAAATGTTCCTTTTTGATGCTGTTTGCCTTGAATTCTGTTTTGTCCATTAAAAATATTGTTATGTATTGATCCTCCTGCCCCCACCAGTGTTGTGTGTGTGTGTGTGTGTGTGTGTGTGTGTGTGTGTGGTGCATCATTTTTTGTAACCTCTGCCTTTAACCTTGTGTTTTCATTCTTTTTTTTTAAGTGCATTTTTTGTAAGTAATATATAACTGGATTTCTAAAAATGTCAGTCGGAAAATCTTTATTAGTTAATAGACGAGTTCAGCAGTTACTGAGATTGTTGATATGTTTGTATGTATTTCCACCACTCAAAACACTGATTGATAAAGAAGATGTGGCACATATATACAATGGAATATTACTCAGCCATAAAAAGAAATGAAATTGAGCTGTTTGTAATGAGGTGGATAGACCTAGAATCTGTCATACAGAGTGAAGTAAGTCAGAAAGAGAAAGACAAATACCGTATGCTAACACATATATATGGAATTTAAGAAAAAAAAATGTTATGAAGAACCTAGGCGTAAAACAGGAATAAAGACACAGACCTGCTGGAGAACGGACTTGAGGATATGGGGAGGGGGAAGGGTGAGCTGTGATAGGGCGAGAGAGAGACATGGACACATATATATATATACTAACAAACGTAAGGTAGATAGCTAGTGGGAAGCAGCCGCATGGCACAGGGATATTGGCTCGGTGCTTTGTGCACTACCAAACGTAAGGTCTATAGCTAGTGGGAAGCAGCTGCATGGCACAGGGAGATCAGCTTGGTGCTTTGTGACCGCCTGGAGGGGTGGGATAGGGAGGGTAGGAGGGAGGGAGACGCAAGAGGGAAGAGTTATGGGAACATATGTATATGTATAACTGATTCACTTTGTTATAAAGCAGAAACTAACACACCATTGTAAAGCAATTATACCCCAATAAAAATGTAAAAAAAAAAGAAAAAAGAAAGGGGAAAAAAATAAAGGATCTTGCTGTTCTAAAAATAAATAAATAAATAAACACTGATTGAGAAAAACCCAATCAAGTAGAAGCCGAGAAAGAAGAGAGAAAATAGTCAAAATAAAACTGAGGTTCAGGGCTTCCCTGGTGGCACAGTGGTTGAGAGTCTGCCTGCTGATGCAGGGGATATGGGTTCGTGCCCCGGTCCGGGAGGATCCCACATGCTGCAGAGCAGCTGGGCCCGTGAGCCATGGCCGCTGAGCCTGCGCGTCTGGAGCCTGTGCTCCACAGCAGGAGAGGCCACAGCAGTGAGAGGCCCACGTACCTCAAAAAAACCCCCCAAAAACTGAGGTTCAAAGTAATCCTTTTAATATCAACATTGTAGATATAATTTCATTTTATTTTAGCGTTTTAAGTTGCTGATGAACATTCTTTTTTCTAATCCTCATCCCTTTGTCTTTTCACTCTTTTTACTTTTGAGATTTTCTTTTTATCCTTAATATCCTAAGGCTTTACTATTAGTTGATGAAGAGTGGGCTTTGTTTTGTTGTGGTTATTTTTAAATTTTATTTATTTACTTATTTTGGCTGCGCCTCATGGCTTATAGGGTCTTAGGTCCCTGACCAGGGATCGAACTTCAGCCCACAACAGTGAAATCAATGAATCTTAAGCACTGGATCACCAGGGAATTCCTGTTGTGGTTATCTTTTATTGTGCTCTTTCAGTCTGAGGAATCATGTATTTTTAATATATTATTCATTAATTATTGATTAGTTATTGCCCTTCCTCCATTCTCTTTATTCTGTAATTCTGAAACCCCTAATAGACCTATTTTGGATCTAGCTTTCATAATATGCCTTTTCTTTCATTTATCCCATCTGTTTGTGTATCATTCTAGTGGAATCCTCATTTGTGTTTCTTGTGTACTACTTTGGTCTTAAGCTGTGTTTAGTCATTATTCAGCTATTCCACTGAATTTAATTTGGGTTTTGTTAATGGTGATGGTTGTTAATTAATTTCATCAATCACATTCTTCTTTCCTAAAGACTTTGCTACACACAGGTAACGTGGCATCAGTTTCTGTTTACCACTATGGAATCCTGTCTAATTTTTTCATAGCTAACTTTTTAATTTCTGGTGTATATGAAATGTTCCTTTTTGTTTTCAAGAGCAGTGTTACATTTATTAGTATTTTTGTAATGATTCTATGTAATAACATAATTTAGTGTGGTGGTTAATAGCATAGACTCTGGAGGCAGAGGGCCAAGGCTCAAAGCCAAGTTCTGCCTCTTTGACAAGCTATTCAAACTCCCTGTATTCCATTATCCTTACTTTGATTATAATACTAATACTTATGTCATAGGAGTTTTTGAGGATTAAAGGAGGTAATAAATGTCAAAATACGTGGCATATACCAAGTCCTCAGTAAATATTAGCTGCTATTAGTTGTAGTAGTGGTGGTAGTACTATATTAGTTATCATTATGCAATTGTATGGTTTGTGGAGATTTTCCCATGCTTTTGTAATCTGCCATGCCATCCCAGCCATGCCTTATGTTACTTTTTTAAATTGAAAATGGGATCTAACAGACTTAAATAACTTATGGCTGTTCTTTCTTTTCTACAGATTGATCCTGAGTTAGAAAAAAAACTGAAAATGAATAAAGTGTCATTGGAGTCAGAGTATGAGGTACAGTATGCTAATGTAGCAATCTTCCTAGTCAGTGACTGGTTCTATCTGCTTTAAGGTAAATTCAAATTATTATCAGTACAGGAAAAAAATATTTACCTTAAATATATGTTATTGGAACAACTATGTAGTCGTTTGAAAAGAAAATAAAGGTGGATCTATATTTCATATACTGTTTTATATCCATATTCTAGATGGATCAAGAATTTAAAAATAAAAAACAAAAGGTAAAAGTACTAGGAGTAAACAATGAAGATTCTTTTTAGTGGTCTTGAGTCAGAAAACCCGATTTAAATATGATAGAAAACCCAGAAGCTTTAAAAGGAAAGATTGCAGAATTCATACATAAAAATTCAAAAGTTCAGAAGTTCAACCTATATAAAGTTACTAGTTAAATGTGAAATTCTAAAAATATTGTTTATCTTAACACGATGAATTAATTTATTTAAATATGAAGAGCAAATCAGTATGGAAAATTTCAACAACTCACTTGATCAGTAGGAACACGGGCAGAGCATGTAATGAGTTCAGAGACAAGGAAATAAATACCATTTTTAAACAGATAAAGAGATGCTTAACTTATAATAGGAATGTTAATTAAAATTATAATGAGGTATCATTTTCCACCTATCTTATTAACAAAATCAAAGAGCTTAATAGCATGTTTTATTATAGGATGTGGAGAGAGAGGGTGTTCTCCATCTCTGATCATATTTTCCCATTTCTTTTCATGTTTGGTCATTTTTGATTGAAAGGTGGACGTTGTGAATAATATACATTGAAGAGACGTGTGAGGAGTGTTGATTCTCATTTTAGCATTTCAATCATTGGCTGATCATTTTGAGCTTGATTTTATGCTTCATAAGGGAGGATCTGTAGAAAGGTTTTGATGTTTCCTAAACCCCTCAAACTGTGGCATTCAGTCTCCAAATTGTTTACCCAGAGGATCTTGTCAGAGCTTAAGACTAGACCACTTTTTGGTTGTTGTTTGTTTTTGTTTTATTGTTGTTGTTTTTTAGTTTAGTTTGGGACTGGACCACTTTTGCATGAAGTTCTGCCAGCCTTGCATCCCATTTAAGAATTATTCTCAAATTCTCTTGAGCATATAGGTCTTATGTTATCTGAGTGAAGGCCATTATTCTTTCTTAAAACCTTTTTATAACTTTGTATAATTTCATAAGTATACTTGAAAATAATTTCCTCTGTTCTTGAACACTAAATTAGTAGAATTTTGTTCATCTATGTAGATTTAGTAAACTCCTGGTAAAAACTGTAAGTGAAATTTAGAGAATGGTTCATTTACTCTTTCC